ACTTAGAAAGAAAACCCAATGGGAAGGTGTTTGACATTCACACGCTTACACTCAGAGCTGCCCCCAGGGCAAAGAGGAGCACGAAGCAGGTGTCTTGATGGTGTTGTGAAATTCGGAGATGTCTTTTCAGAGATCTGTGAGCCTGTGTCTTGCACGGAGAGGAGGGCGCCGGGGCTCACCTGTGTGGCAGGTGAGGTGAGCTGTTGGGACAATTCCTGGACTTGACCATCTTGGATTTCAAGCAGCCTCCCTCCCAGGTTTGCCTTGTTGCTTTTTCCAGGACCCGTGGAATTGAAATTTGCAAGTGAGACACGAAGGTCACCAGTGAGACACCGGCAACCTGAGGAGGGTCGTGGTCAGGCTGCCAGCTGCCGGTTTTCCTTGGAGGACATCGTTTTCTGCCGACTGCCGGTGAACTTGATCTACCCACATGGCGGGAAAGCGGCTTCTTTCATTTGTGCAATGTCTAAAAATGCGGTCTTGCCGGTCAGAGCGTTTCCTGGCCCCTGAAGAGGTCACAGGGGTGGCGCGGGGAGGGTCATTGTACAGCACAGCCCCGAGGACATCCCTGAGTTGAGTCGTGGAGACCGCCACGCTGGGGAGGAACTTTTCCTTAGCGACCTGGCTTTTCTTGGTTACTCTCTTAGCCGTGTGGTCCTGACCTCTGGATTTGCCCTGCGTCTGTGATTTGAACCACATCATTTGTCTGCTTCCGCTTTCTGCTCCCCGAGAAGGTCCCTGTTTGGTCAGCCACTCATTAGCTTTCCACCTTTTCTCCCCAGCCCTTCTGCACAACTGGCCTCAAATGCAGGTGGTGACAGGTTTCATTCAGATGGCTCATTATCATGGGCACAGGTGGGCAGTACTGGGCATAATACTTAGGGTTCTCCGGAAAAGTAGAATATCTATCTATCTATCTAGATATCCTAATATATCTATATATAGATATATAGATATATCTATAGAATATCTATGTAGATATTCTAGGATATAGATATAGGATATAGATATTCTAGGATATTCTAAATATCTAGATATTTTAGAATATCCTAGAAAATCTATATCTATAGATAAATCTATACACATATTTGGATATATATATCCAAATTAAGATTTATATATAATCTTAATATACACATATTTGGATATTTGTAATATACACATATTTGGATATATATATCCAAATTAAGATTTATTTATAAGGATTGTCTAATGGCATTATGGAGCTGAGAAGTCCCATGAGAATGCAGGAAAGCCAATGGTATAAATTCCAGCCTGAATCCAGAGGCCTGAGAACCAGAAAGCCTGATGACACAAGTCCCGTCCGAGGGCAAGGGACCAGGGTCCCAGCTTGAGTGGTCAAGCAGAGAGAAATAGAATTTCTCTATCCTCTGCCTTTTGACGGTTCCCACCCACTTGGGCGACGGTCGTCTTCCTTACTCAGCCTACCAACTCAAATGCTAAGGTCTCCCAGAAGCATCCTCACAGACATACTTGGAAATAATGCATGACCCGATATCTGGGCATTGGCCTGTCAAATTAGCCATCATGCCTGATTAGGTCAGGCCCACCCAGGATCTCTCTTTCTTAAAGTGAACCATGATACATACTCAGGGAGATGGGATGGCATTGGGTGCATCTCGGGGACTGTCTTAGTTTCCTAGGACTGCTATAATTAATGCCTACAACTGGAAACAATGCTGACGTTTTTCAACGGGTGAATTGATAAACACATTGTAGTTTAATTGGGTGATGGGATTCTACCCATCAATAACAAGGAATATGCTAGTGGCACACGTAACGACACGGAAGGATCTTCAGATGATCACATTGAGTGAAAGAAGCCAGATGAAGGAGAGCGATACAGCAGGAGTCCGTTTATAGAAAACTCTAGAAAATGAAAGCACATCTGTAGTATTAGAAAGCAGGTTAGCAGCTGTCTGGGGACAGGGATGGAAGGTGGGGAGGGATGGGAGGCAGGATTGCAAAGGACAGGAGGAAACCGCTGAGCATAAGCAATAAATTCCCTATCTTTTTTTTTGTTTCTGGAATGTTTGTTTATTTTTGACAGGGGCGAGGGGCAGAGAGAGAAGGGGACAGAGGATCTGAAAGAGGCTCTGTGCTGACAGCACAGAGCCCGACACGGGGCTTGAACCCACGAGCCGCGAGATCACAGCTTGAGCCAAAGTCAGACCAACGGAGCCACCCAGGCGCCCCCGAATTCACTACCTTGATGGGTGACGGGTTCATGCGCGCCTACATGTGTCAAAAGCAGTCAAATCCTACACCTAAAACAGGTGCGGAGTATGGTCCCTTCACACCCCAGACGTAGCCGCAGTGTGAGGCCTGACCCTGGACGGGGAGGCAATTTGTCCTTCCCTAGATGCTCTTTGCGACTAGACGGTTCCCTGCTTTCCAGAGGTAGCACGTCTCTGGTGGGAGGATTGTCCACCCTGCAGCCCGCCTAAGTGACTCGTGCCCTGTGGGGCAGAAGAGCCCAGAACAACCGTCCCTCCCTCCGGGGTGGGGGGGGGGGGGGGGGGGGGGGGTGGGCCCAGGCTGGGCCGGGGCCGAGCTGCCTCTTCAGACCCTTCCTGGAGGGAGAGGAGCGTCTGAATTCCCAGGCCGGGGTGGGGGGACACACACAGAGGAGAGAGGAGCACCAAATGCCGGCACGAGAAGTCATTAGGCAGAATGAGGACAAACCGTTAGCAAAAGAGAACGAACCCAAGGTTTGCTAAGGATGAGCCACCGAAGGGACGACCCCCCCACGGCGAACTGAACACCCATCCTGCCGTGTAGCCGGTTTCTCCCAGGAAATACAGCCAGTCCCGCGGCCTCTCCGGCCATCGCAGCGGCTGTCGTTTCAGGGCACCCCGCGAGGCCGCCAGGACTTCGCTGACTTTCAGAAATGTGTTACTTTGTTGCTGCAGCCGGAGGCCTTGGGAGCGGATTGACCATCGCTGCAAGTTTGCAGCCGGGGACTCGAGATCGTAAAGGGTCGGACTGTCAGCTGCTGAGGAAGCAGGAATCTGTTTTGCTGGCACTTCGGCGTTTTTGTTTCGACAGGAGATGGGGGGGCAGCCCAGGGGCGGGGGGCTCTGCCCCGACTCCTGGGATGCCTCCATCCAAGACGCTCCTTGGCCGGGAAGAGCCGTTAGGGCCTTTTATCACGGACTTTTCTCATTCCCTGCACCCTCCTTGCCTGCCCATGTGACTTCCTCGTCACCGGCCTCCGCTCCGTCCCGCCACTTCTGAGACCTGCTTTGTCACTCCCCCGAGGTAGCACAGAGAAAAGAGAACGGCCTGTGTAGTGAGGCCGGCTGGCTTTGAATTCTGGCTCCCCCGCTTACTAGCTGTGTGACTCTGGGAAAGTCGCTTGACCTCTCGGAACTTCTAGGCCTCATCTGGAAAGCTGCGGACAAAGGCGCATGGGGATGGTTGTGCGGATTAAGAGGACCGCGTATCGCCTAACGGAGCTCAGTTGTGGTGACAGTGTGCTGTGACCGCTGCTGGTGGCTCCTGGTCTTTGGTCTTCGTCTGCTCTTCTGCTGGGACCTGATGTGGTTGGCCCGGCATCCAGGGATGGCCTTGACAGGCCTCAGGACCGCCCTCCTCGTGTCCAGCATCCTGCCTCCAGGCCCCACCCCCCCACCCCCTCTGCCCTGCAGGTATTCCTAGCCTTCTGGCCACTTCCCCAGACCAGATGGCTTTCCCTGGTTTCCCTGAGGACACAGAGCCTGTCTGAGGCCCTCCACAGAGGGAGTGACTTTGGGGAGCACACACACACACACACACACGCACGCACATTCTTACACTCACACAAAAGTGCGCACATACACCCGTAGAGCCAGAAGAGAGCTTGCTTTTGACAAGCTCACCCAGAATTTTGCAATCAGAGAATCCAGAAAGAGGCCCTTGCAATTCTAGCATTAATAAAGTTGAGTGTCGGGGCGCCTGGGTGGCTCCGTCGGTTGAGCGTCCGACTTCGGCTCAGGTCATGATCTCGCGGTCCGTGAGTTCGAGCCCGGCGTCGGGCTCTGTGCTGACAGCTCGGAGCCTGGAGCCTGCTTCTGATTCTGTGTCTCCCTCTCTCTCTGCACCCCCCTCACCCCGTTCATACTTTGTCTCTCTCTGTCTCAAAAATAAATAAACGTTGGGGCACCTGGGTGGCTCAGTCGGTTAGGCATCCGACTTCAGCTCAGGTCACGATCTCGCGGTCCGGGAGTTCGAGCCCCGTGTCGGGCTCTGGGCTGATGGCTCAGAGCATGGATCCTGCTTCCGATTCTGTGTCTCCCTCTCTCTCTGCCCCTCCCCCGTTCATGCTCTGTCTCTCTCTGTCCCAAAAAATAAATAAACGTTAAAAAAATTAAAAAAATAAATAAATAAACGTTAAAAAAATTAAAAAAAAATACAGTTGAGTGTCATTCTGAAAAATACCACTTTGCTGTGAATGGTACAGAGATGGGCTGGGGCATGCGTGGGGAATCACCATCTTCAATGCTTAGTCCTTCTCAAGATCCATTCCAGCCCTGGGGAGGGGGCCTGAGCGGGGTCTTCCGGCCTCTTTTACACGTTTCTGCCCCGCAGGGGGACTGAGGACAGGCTGTGCAGGACCCAAATCAGCTGGTGGACAGACGGGGACCAATCAGAGGCTGTTGCTGGGGAAACACTGCTCATGCCAATTCCTCTGGACTGGGGAGGGGGTGCCAGCCTGCCCGCCCTCCTCTCCTGCCCGCCCCCCCGCCTCTCAGTGGCCCAAATCCTGTCTCCTCTCTCTCTCTCTCTCTCTCTCTTTCTCATCCATTAATAGATGCTACCCCACAGATGTCTGATGTGAAATTGCACAGCAGTCTAGTGGGTCTGCTGTGGGCACAGGATTAGGTCAGCAAGTCTGAACATACCAGATTTTTATGACCCATCCATCCCTCTGGGGGTGAATTCAACATCACCCCATGCTACGCGGGAGGCAGGTGGGGGGTGCTGGTTCAGTCCAGCATTTTCCAGGACCTCTGCTGGGAGAATGGAGCCCCAGGCTCAGTGCCAGGTGACCGCGGGCAAGATTGGGTGCAGCCCCATTGGCCACGAGCAGCCGATCCGAGCTCCACACCTGCTCTGATGATGGACCCCACCGGGCTTTGGCAGCCGCGTTTCCTGAACTGACGCACGGCCCTGCTTCCGGGGGCCCGTGCTTGCAACATCTTTCCACCATAAAACCGCCATGGAAGTTAATTGCCTGCATCGCTTTGCAATTGAACAGGTCCATAAAATGTTCATTTGGTGCCGTCTCAGGGACTGAACGGGTGGCCAGTCGTTTGGCTTCGGGCGACAGCAGACATCTGGGGGGCGGTCCCTAGGCAGGGAGGCGTCTCCGAAATTGCTGATGTTGAGCCTTCGGAGGGACTTTCTCGGAGCCGTTCCAAAGTGTGTAGGAGCGACTGGTCATTTACTGGAATATTCCTGCCGGGGGCTGTGGAGGCTGCCAAGAGATATTTGCAAGTAAGTAGAAAACTTGTGTGTAGTTGCACGGGCAGGGTAACCATTGTCGGCTGCTGTTGCAAAGGAGCCTCACATCCCAGTGCCTTGGACAACAAAGCTTTCCTTTTTTAAAAATTTTTATTTTTTAATGCTTATTCATTTTTGAGAGACAGAGAGAGACAGAGTGCAAGCAGGGGAGGGGCAGAGAGAGGGAGACACAGAATCTGAAGCAGGATCCAGGCTCTGAGCTGTCAGCACGGAGCCCGACGTGGGGCTGGAACCCACGAACTGCGAGATCATGATCTGAGCTGAAGTCGGAGGCTTAACTGGGAGCGGCCCAGGCGCCCCAATGGTAGTTTTAACTTGCATTTCTTTGGGTCGCCTCAAGGTTAAACCATTCAAAAGCAGGCATTCCCTTTTGTGTGAAGTGAGTTTCCTCTTTGGAGGAAATGGCTTATTCTGATGGGTTCCCACGGCCAGACTCATGGTAGTGTCATTTTAAGACTTTGAAATGAGCACTTTGTTGGTAAACTTTGCAACAATTATTCACACCAGCAGGTCCCTTTTCATTTTAATTGTACTACTGTCAGATTTTGTGTGTGTGTGTGTGTGTGTGTGTGTGTGTGTGTGTAAGCCCACCAGGGGGCTTGAACTCATAACCCTGAGATCAAGATCTGAGCTAAGGTTAAGAGTCCCATGCTTAATCAACTGAGCCACCCAGTGCCCCAATCTTTTATGTGTATTTATTTATTTATTTTTAAAATGTTCATTTATTTTTGAGAGGAGAAGGACAGAGAGAGGAGACACAGAATCCGAAGCAGGCTCTAGGCTCTGAGCTGTCCGCACACAGCCTGATGCTGGGGCTCGAACTCATGAACTGTGAGATCATGACCTGAGCCGAAGTCGGATGCTCAACCAACTGAGCCACCCAGGCACCCCGATTACTTAATTTATAGTATTAAAGAACTTCTTAGCAATTTGGAAAAATGTCATGTACACATTTATGCTGGATATCAAAAATATCCAAAATGGAGGGAGGAAAACTCTAAAATAGGTAATAGAATATTCTATCACTGACCTCTTATAATTTTTGGTAATTGTCCTAGCATGACACTTAGCGCATAGTAGATGCTTAATTAATATTTATGGTGTGATGGGGCGCCTGAGTGGCTCAGTCGGTTAAGCGTCCGACTTTGGCTCAGGTCATGATCTTGCAGTCTGTGAGTTCGAGCCCCACATCGGGCTCTGTGCTGACAGCTCAGAGCCTGGAGCCTGTTTCGGATTCTGTGTCTCCCCCTCTCCCTGCCCCTCCCCTGCTCAAGCTCCGTCTCTCTCTCTCTCTCTCAAAAATAAATAAACATCAAAAAATATAAATTTATGGCGTGACTTGTAAGCACTCAACACGAAAGACTTTCGGACAGGAGTTGGATTTTGTAAACTCCTTGGTATAGAGTAGTAACAGCTAACCAGCTGTATCCTGTGGCTCTGTTCACACAGCCGTCCTGTGGCCCCAGGTACCACTGGACCTTTCTAAAATTTTTTTTTTCAAAGTTTATTTATTTTTGGGACAGAGAGAGACAGAGCATGAACGGGGGAGGGGCAGAGAGAGAGAGAGGGAGACACAGAATCGGAAACAGGCTCCAGGCTCTGAGCCATCAGCCCAGAGCCTGACATGGCTCAGAGCCTGATGCGGGGCTCGAACTCCCGGACCGCGAGATCGTGACCTGGCTGAAGTCGGACGCTTGACCGACTGCGCCACCCAGGCGCCCCCACTGGACCTTTCTGAGGCCCATCGGAATGGTCAATTCCCGGCCCTTCAGAGTCTCGGCATGGGTTTGTCCTGCATGGTTGGTGACTGCCTGACACTGGCAGTTAAATACCTCGCACTGCACCCTTGGAGGGAGATGCTGTTTATTCCTTCTTGCCTTAGAGCCAAGGGAAGTAGAGGCCCAGAGAGAGGTTGGGACACTGGCCCAAGGTCACACAGGTAGGAGACAAGGGCCAGGACTCAAATTTCAGATAATCTGCCTCCAGAGGCAGTCCTATGAACCATCCATCACCCAGACTCCGGAGGAGAAAGGCAACAGTGTAATCACTCGTGATGCTTCCTGAGGCCGCTTGGCTGGGCTTTCAGCCACCTTGGGTTGTTCTGGATTTTGGGGTCTCACAGCTCCAGTTAGAGCAGGGAGGATCCGAGGGTCCCTGAAGCAGGATCCCTGCTGTGTTTCTGAGATGCAGGGTCCTCCCTCCCCACCCCTACCCCCATCCCTGGTGGCTCCCCACCCAGAGAAGCCAGCGGATGCCCAGTTCTTGCTCAGAAAACCTTGGAAGTCCAGAGTATTGGATTTGTTCTTCTCGATACTCTTAGCTCCTTCCCGGGAGCCTGCACAGGCCTGGGGAAGAAGGGACACCACCCTCTCTACCTCGATGGGAGTGTGGCCCCAAGGCGGTTCCGCCTGCTGGGGGCTGTGGTTGGAAGCCCGGAGGAGGTCTGCTCAGCCAGCTCTCTCTACGAAGGCCCAGACCTCCTGCTCATCCCTTCTGGAAGGTTCCCCCTCTGCATCTGCCAGGCCGGGCTAGGCAGAGGGGAGCTGGCTCGGGTTGGGCTGTTTCGTAGGCTGTTTGGGTGGGGCCCCCTGGGCTGGGGCCTGGCCTGGGCTGCACGGCGGGGGGCCCGGTGAAGCTTTGAGCTCCTTTGGCTCCTCGGAAGGGGTGGGGTGAACCTGCTGCTGGCTGTAGGGGGGTTGGAGCTGAGTAACTCAGGTTTTATGCTGGGCTGGGCTGGTGTTGGCTCTGACTTTGGTTGAATGTATCTTGGGCTGTGCTAAGCACAGGGCTGGGCTCTGGAAGGTTCCACACCAGACATTTTTAGTTGCTGGGATGGGCGGCTTGATGGGCCCGGCCTCTGGCCTGGCAGGACCAGGTGGACTGGTCCTACATGTCTTTGGATGAGCTGGGCTCCTGGTCTGGTCCGGGCTGGGTTGGGCCGGGGGTGGGACTCGGCAGGCACTGGGCTGGACTGTCTTGCTCTCTTTCCTGGGCAGAGATGACTTCTGAGCTGGATTGGGAGGTATTTTTCCACTCGGCTCTAGAAATCAGGGGCTCAGGTTTCGGGTGCAAACACTGTGTCCCAGGTGAGGTGGGGGACATTCGGCCAAAAATACCTTGTGACATCTTTGGGGACCATCCCACCACATTGCCCCCTCCCAGGAAGGAGGCGGCTGTCCCCGATCCTTGACCCAAGTGAGGCAGGGGTTAGTGGCATCCTGCCTGTGGAGGGGGCTCAGCTGGGAGTTGATAAGCAGGCTTGTTGAGATGGCCCTTCTACTCCTGCCTGTGTGACCTTGGGCCAGTGACTCAACCTCTCTGTGCCCTCACTTTCCTCATCTGTAAGATGGGATTAATAATACCCCCACCTACAGCGGACCTTTGCTGGGAAGTTGTCTGTGTCTGTATGCATCCATCTGTCCATCTGTCTCAGGAGTCTGAGTGCTCGTCTGTGGGGGCAAACGGACCCTTCTTTGCTCCTGTGGTTCTCCCCAGGTTGGCCACAGAGCTGATGGGGCTATGAGAGGGCAGGGCCTTGTCCTTTCTGTCCAGAGAGGTCCACCCAGAATCACTGGGTCTTATCCCCTAAAGTCCCAATCCGCCAGGCAGAACGCTCACGGTCAGAAACCTCACAGACCCAGGGGGCAGTGGCCACACTTTATGCTGAGGAGAAAGGAGACTTGACAGAGGCTTTTATGCTGGTCCAGGCCCCCAGCCCCAGTCTGCCCACTTGGCAACAGGGCACAGAAGCCCCCAGGCTGGAGTCTGAGTGGAGGAAGCCAGGGGATGTGAGCGAGAGCCTATAATGACAGCCACCACGTGTCCCTTCAGGTAACACCAGGGTGGCCCCGAGCTGGGGTTGTGAACCAGGCTGTATTTGTACGTGGTCTCTGGGAAAACAAATTAAAAACTCATTTTAAAGTTAACTTATTTATTTTGGGAGACAGAGAGAGAGCACGAGTGGGGGAGGCAGAGAGGGGGGAGAGAGAGAGAATCCCAAGCAGGCTCCACGCCCGACACGGGGCTCGAACTTACGAACTGTGAGATCAGGACCTGAGCCAAAATCAAGAGTCAGCGTTTGACCGACTGGGCCACCCAGGCGCCCCCCCACCCCAATCATTTTAAATTAAACTTTTAAATAATCATATTTTTTGTTTATCTTTCATGTGGCCCGCTTCCAGTTAAGGTGCAAAACTGAAGCCTGATGGAAATGATGGTTTGCATGTCAGCGTCAGCTTGCGTGAGTGGCCACTGGGGACTGTGGTCTACATCATAAATTACTTTCCACGGTGAGTTCAGAGCAATTTTAAAAAGTACCCCCCAGTGCTGGGGCGCCTGGGTGGCTCAGTGGGTTGGGTGTCTGACTTTGGCTCAGGTCATGATCTCGTGGTTCGTGAGTTCGAGCCCCGTATCGGGCTCTGTGCTGACAGCTCGGAGCCTGGAGCCTGCTTCCAATTCTGTGTCTCCCTTTCTCTCTGCCCCTCCCCTGCTCGCACTGTCTCTCTCTCAAAAATAAAAACAAACAAACAAACAAAAGTACCTCCAGTGCATTTACCATGGTGCCTACCCAGACCAGAGTCCTCTCGGGTGGTTTCAATTTCTGACATTTTTGGGGGTGGTTGGAACTGAGCAGTCCGTGGCATTTATACTCGTCTAGAGGCTGAAGCTGGTGGGCAAATCCAGAATTTTCCAGGAGGGCCAAATTTTGCATAGCTTTATTCTTTCCACAAAGAATAGTAGATAGTAACACACAGCTTCATGGATTTTATGATTATAACTTTTTAAGATTCTTTCCCTGGGAGAAACAGATGGGCTCACTTGAAAATAAAACTGTCCTGGGGCTGTCTGGGTGGCCCAGTCGGTTGAGCATCCGACTCTTGATTTCGGCTCAGGTCATGATGTTGCAGTTCTGTGGGTTTGAGCCCCACGTCAGGCTCTGCACTGGGCACATGGAGCCTGCTTGGGATTCTCTCTCTCTCTCTCTGCCCCTTCCCCATTTGCACCGTCTCTGTCTCTCTCAAAATAAATAAATACACTTGAAAAAGGAAAAGCAAAGCAAAGCAAACTGTCCTGATCTGAGAAACAGTCCAGTCCGTTTTCCCTCCGTCCTCCACGGGGAGGTCAGGGAGGGGCCGAGGCTGAGCCCTGACCCCTCCTCACGGCTGGGGTCCCTCCATTCACAGTGGGTGTTCTCTGCACCCACTAACAGTTCACTTTGTTCCTGACTTTTCTGCCTTTTCCAGGAAAGCCTGGTAGCCGGGAGGATGTACTGATTTTGGAGTTGGACAGTCTGGAAGTTTGACACCTGGCTCCATCACTGGATGGCTTTGGGCAAAGCAGAGTCTGTCTTCAGCCTGAGGCGGTGATCAATTTTCAGACTGTGCCCCGCCGTGGGGAAAAGACTTGAGCAGGCTGGCTGCCCCCATATAAGTGTATTTGGAATTTTAAGTGATATGTGCGGATCTGAAACATAAAACAGCCCCCCAAGGCAGTGAACAAGGAACGAGATATAAAATACCTGTAAACAGTTTCTGGGATATTCTTCCCTTGTATGAAGCATGCCGAGGTGGGGTGGAGCCTGAGCACTGCTGAACATTTCTAAAAGGAAGAGGGACAGGTTCTGACGCGTGCGTTTAGGTGGATGGTGCCACAGTACGAATGCAGCTCGGAGGCAAGACCAGGGAGCAGACGGGTGATGCCGAAGTTGCTGCAGGAGATGTGCCCGAGGAACTTGCAGCCAGGATGCAGGAGAGCTCTGGGTTGCGGACCAATTTGAGAGACGGATCGGATGTGGGGCGAGCGGATTGGAGAGGTGCTTGGGCTGACCTGGTTTCTAGCTTGGGGCACTAAAACCTAAAGCACACGGACCCTCGACTCCAGTGGCCTCGGCCCCGGCAGGAAGCGCGAGTCGGTGGCTGGGCGCAACACGTGAAGACCCGGTCAAGTTCAGATGCCTTGGAAACTCCTCCGTGTGGCCAGAGAAAGCCCGTGGAGTTGAGCCTGCGGATTTGTTGGGACCTGGAAGCCAAGGAGGTTTGAGGTGACCGCCCGTATTGAGATGACCGGGGAGGCAGTAAGGATGCTTAAAATCAGCTTTCTCTTTGGAGCTGGCGCACCCGGAGGGGGTGGCCGAGGCACCTGTGTCCCCTCTTCCCTACTGGCATTGCCAGCCCATGGTCAGGATTTATTAGCTCTTACTCCCCATCTCCCACCTTACAGGGTGCAAAGCAGCTAAAACACAAGTACAGACTCTGATGTGATGGAGGGAGGGATGTGTGCCTTCCTTCCTCCCGCCCCTCCCTGCACCCCTGCCCGCCACAGGTGACTCTGAGGGCCATGGGACCCTCCTAGGGCGTCTCTGTCCAGGCCCCACCCCAGCCCCCAGCCCTGGATGGCACCTCGTCTTAGCTGCTGCCCCATCTTACTAGTAGAGAGAGCAGGACTCAAGGGGGGTGGAATTACTTACCCAAGGTCACCTGGGAACTGGGAGTCACCTAATCATGGGCTGGGACTGTCCCTGTGAGGCACAGCACCTAGGACCGGCCTGTGAATCAGGGAAGGACAGGAGGAGGTCACCCTCCCACCGACAGAGGGACAGAGGGACAGCAAGGAGCAGAGAAAAAGGTAAGGCGAGCCAGAGGCCGGAGCCTCTCCTGCAGCCCGGGTTTGCCAGCCTGGCCTGTTCCACACCGCGTCTGAGCTACAAGCCCCTCGGAGGGTGCCTGACCCTGGGAGTGGGAACTGGGGACCCCCGGGCTGGATCTTGCTATCTTCAAAAAAAAATTGAAATAATTTCCAACTTCCTGTTGCAACAATAGTATAAAGACCAACGATTAACATTTTGCCACATTTTGCTTCTAGCACGGACATGACTATTTTTTTTCCCTTCACCTGTTGAGGCTTAGCTTTAGACCTCATGCCTCTGACCCTTAAATACGTCAGCGGGCGTATCATAAGAGTAAACGCGTCCTCCGTCAAAATGCTGTTGTCCAATTCGACTTTGGTACAACACCATTGTCTACTCTACACACATATTTACGTTTTGGCATTTTCTCCCCCAGACGGTCCTTCCTGGCGATCCTTTTTCTCCCTCACCTGATCTAGCATTTAATCCAAGACGGTACTTGCCCTGTGTGTGTTTTCCTTTCACCTGCACTAGTTCAACTCTTTGTCTTCTTTCCATCTTGGTACGTTTGAGAAGCTATTTTGTGGAATGTCCTATTTTGTGGGATGGCCCCCAGGTTGGGTTGGTCTGATGCTTTCCAAGCAAGTTACGCCTTCCTGGCAGGAATAATAGGAGATGCGTGAAAAAAATGAAGCTGGTGGCAAATAAAACTCTGAAAGATTTTACATTCTGTCTCATTCTCTGGGTCTTCTTGTGAACTAATAGCTCTGTTCCGCGCCCTCCCCCCCACCCTTCCCGGAGCCTGGGGCCCTGCTGGAGCCGGTCAGGTGGTCTGTAGACGGGGCAGGGGCACTAGGGTACCAGCTCCTCACCTGGCCTGCTCCCCTCCTCTGGGTGAGCCCACCTGGCCAGGTGGGCACTAAGTGTGCGCTTCCTGATGGGTCCGCCATTTTCGGTTAAGACAACCATAGAAGCTTCTAGAAGCAGTAGGAGCCCCATAGGCTCACAGCAGGTGCAGGAGCCCTCCGGACCTGGAGCCACCCCCATTTTGTGAGTATAATCACAGAGAAGTGGGTTTGGATCTTACTCACCAAGTTTTGTTTACACAGCTACCCAAGAATCAGGCATTGGCTACTTTGAGCCACTGCATCCTGTTGGTGTGTAGTTCCGGGAGGAGGGAAGGTGTGAACGTTTTCGGGGGTGTGGGCTGCTTGGGCCCCCTCTCCCGCCTTCCGCTCCCCCCCCTTCCCCTCCACCGGTCTTCTCCTTTTCTTGCTGTTCATCCGTGTGAACACTAGGTGGCAGTGGTCCCCCATTAATAACCCAGGGAGCCCCAGCCGCTGCAGCGCGTGCGCAGCGCAGGTGGCTGCCCCCCCCCCTTGGAATCCTGTCTTCTGGTGACATCTTTTTCCCACCCACTCTCAAAACGTTGAGATACAATTCACATACCATAAGTGCACCCCTTGAGAGCGTACAGCTCAGTGGTTTTTACTGCATTCACCGGGTTGTGTGACCCTTTTCTGCTAATTACAGAACGTGTCACTCTGGTAAGATCTCACACGGAAGGCGGATATGGTGGAACAGGCTAGCCAGGATTTTTTTTCTGTTGCTCTGGCTGGGGAAAGAAGCTACCGCGCCCCTCACACTGCACGGAGAGCTGCAGATTTTTGGGGCCACCCACCCCCTTGGAGACAGACGGTGCAAGAACACCGGTTCAGCGTGCTTCCCTCTGGTGCGGATTGCGGATGCTGTGTTTTTTTACAGCTTGATGGCTTGTGGCAGCCGCCCTGTGTCGGGCAAGTCGTTCGGTGCCACGTTTCCAACAGCATTTGCTCGTTTCGTGCGTCGGGGTCACATTTTGGTCATTCTCGCAACATTGCTCATTTTTTTCGTTAGTGTATTTGTTAAGGCGATCTGTGACCAGTGATTATGACTCCCTCTCATCTCAGATGATGGTTAGCATTTTTACCAATAAAGTATTGTTTAAAGTTATTTATTTATTTTGAGAGAGAGCACAAGTAGGGTAGGGGTAGAGAGAGAGAGAGAGAGAGAGAGTGAAGGGGAAGAGAGAATCCCAAGCGGACTCTGAGCTGTCAGCGCGAAGCCCAACGTGGGGCTCAAACTGAGTGGTGAGATCATGACCTGAGCCGAAACCAAGGGTTGGATGCTTAGCTGGCTGAGCCACTCAGGCGCCCCACAAAGTATTTTTTAAATTAAGATCTGTCCATTGTTTTTCTAGACATAATGCTATTGCAGACTTAATAGGCTACAGTTTAGTGTAAACATAACTTTTACACGCACTGGGAAGGCAAAAAAGCCACTTGACCTGTTTTATTGCCATATTCGCTTTACCATAATGGTCTGCACCCAAACCTGCAGTATCTCCAAGGTATGCAGTCTTTGCTTCCCGCCCCTCCTTGGGTCTATGGCATCTGACGGTGGAGGGGAAGGGAAGGGGCATAACTTGAGGTAAAGGGCTTTCTCCAGGGCCTCCCTGTGGCATTTCCCTCCCCTGTCCCGGGAGCAAGTGAGAGAGCAGGAAAGGCTCGCTGGAGGAGGTTGGGGGCGGTGGTGGGACGGGGGGCGCCCTCCCCGCTCCTGCCCTTGCTAAGCTGTGAGTCAGCTCGTGGACTCTGGCCCTGCCATCAGACTGGCCTGCAATGGGCTGGTGGGTTTATTGGGAAAAATTGACGTGGCTGCGGACCTTCTGGTGTAGGGAATTCTGCAGGGGCGAGACACCCCCCCCCCCCCCCCCCCCCGGCCCAGTTCTCTGCGGCTCTGGGAGGAGACCCCAGGGGTTCCGTGGCTAGCTCCACGGGGAGAAGGTGGAGGGGGACTCGAGCCTGGGTGTGCGAGGGGCTGGGAGCATCGCCCGCTGGCTGTCCCTCTCTCTGCGGCTGCCCCCAGCATGGAGCAGGCTGCGTGCAGCTTTACTTACACCGCCGCGCACCCTGGGTAAACACAGCGCTCGCTCCGCAGTCCACGAACCGCTTCTAGCGTTCCCTCAAGTTCAGTTGGGGCCATTGACTACTTCCGGCCAGGTGACCGAATCACTTCTGGGCCGAGGCAATGCCCGGCAGCTGAGCCTGCTCCGTCTCTTGGCTTCTGCCGGAGCCGCACCTGGACGGTCGGAGGACGGCGCGTGCTCCCGGCGCATGCGCACCAGCCCGTGGCGTGGTGGGGGAGGGGCGTGGGGGACGCCGCTGAGGGGCCTGGTGGCAGCGGCCGTTCCTCGTCCTGACCGACACCTGCGCCGCCTTTGCAGGGACCGCCACGAAGGACGAAGACCACCTCCGAGCGGGACCCGCCGGCGGGGGGGCTGCTCGTTACCAAGGCAACCGCTCCTTCTCGGCACCCCAAACACGGCAGAGGGGCCGGGGCCGTGGAAGCAACCAAAAGAGCGCCCTCCGGCCCCGCCTCGAGGCCCTTGGCGGGAAGAGGAGAAGACGAGCGGTGCCGGGACTGGACTGCAATAACCGGAAGCACCTGGAACGTGATGGGGCCCTCCGAGAAGCCCCTGCAGGGGTGGGATGGGGAGGGGAGTCCACCGAGCGTGGCCCGGGCAGCACACGCGGCGGCTTCGCCCTTGCTGCCCCTGCTCGGTGGGGCGCCCCTTCTGGCTCTGGAACCGGTTCCCGGGACACGCAGGGATGCTGTGGAGGACGCAGGGCCCGGCGGGTGGGCGCTTGGAGGCCACCTTCTCTGGGGTCCGCCCCGCCCCTCCGCGGACACGCTCGGGCCGCGTGGAGCACGGGTGGAGCGCCGCCGAAGACGCCCGGCCCGCTTGCTGCTCAGGCAGCTCTCGCAGGCGGCAGCGTCGTGGCTCCGGCGCGGGATGGCGCCCGTGGCCGCCGCGTCCCAGCGCCGAGGACGGACGGAGCCCGCCCTCCTCTTCGCCCATCAGCCGTGCCGTGGCCGCCAAAGCCACCCAAGAAGGGGCCACCGCGGTGGTGAGGAAGGTGAGTGCCCCTTCTCCATCCCTAGAGCGTGCCCGGAATCCCGCACGAGTGGGTCGGTGACATCCAGGTCGCCTCGTTCGCGTCGCCTGTGCTTAACGTCTGGCCGACTAGCATCCGTTCTCTGTTCGCTGCTTGGGTCCGCTGCTGGGACTCGCTCCCTGCCCCGGAGCAGTTTGCAGCCTGGAGTGTGTGTGGGGGGGACGCGTGCACATGCATGCACACACGTGCACACACCACACACACGTATACAGGCGCACACGCATCCATGCTCACGTGCACGCGCTCCCACACGCACACACGTGCACACACGTTCGCATGCACACACGCACAGAGTGCTGGGGAGAGTGCTAGCTAGGCCAAGGTCTTGCTCCTGCTCCCAGGCCAGAGAGAAGCTGGAGGACATCGCCTGCCTCTACGAGGTCTGTGCAAAGGCCCTGTGGGGTGCAGTGGTGAGGGCCTTCCTCGAGGCCCAGTAGCGGGAGGAGTCTGACAGTGGACGAGTGGAGACACAAGAGGTCGGCCCTGAAGGAGCCCAGCTGAGCTCTGGGTCGGGAGGGTAAGAAGGGGCCTGAAGAGGAAGCAGTTTCTTATTTGAGCAGCATCAGAACCGCCCAGAGAGCCTGCCAAAACCTGGAGTGTGGCTCCATCCCCCGTGTTTCTGATTCAGCGGGTAGGGGGACATCACGAATTCGTTGGGTTTCCATACATTCCAGTGGAAGCTGGTGCCGCTTCGGGATGATTGGCTTGGAATCTGGAGGCTGGAGGCTCAGGAGAGAGCTGGGCTGTGGGGCGGGAGGAATCTGGCGAGTGGTCGGGGTGGGGATGGCTCGTCCGCCTGCTGTTGTGGGGGGGCTAGTGGGTGGAAGAAGGGGGGGCACACCTACAACGGGGGACCGCCTTTGCTGCCGCATCACCCTCCCTGCCGCCGTCTGCTGAGGTCTCACCACGGGGCAGGCACGGCGCCGAGTGCCTGCTTCCTGTGCTCTGTCCATGTGAGAAGCGGGGTAACCACTGCACGGCTCACTTTCTAAGGTCACAGGAAGATTAAATGCGACCTCGCCGCACCATGGTGGCTGTCACATTCCCTGGGGGCACAGAAGCCATCCATAAAAATCTGTTTTCCCCTTGGTAAAGGAGGCGTCTAACTCTGGTTCCGTCACCTCCTGTGGGAGGCAGGATAACGGTCCGCCTAGATGTCCGTGTCCTGACCCAGAACCTGCAGATACGGTAGTTTGCATGGCAGTGGGGGGACTTTGCAGGTGACCGTGGTGAGGGCCTTGAGATGGAGATACCATCTTGGGTCATTCACGTGGGCTCAAAGTAGCCACAGGGGTCCTTTATAAGGAAGGAAGGAAACAGGATTATTGGAGACAGTAAAAGATGTGATGATGGGGTGGGGGTGGGGGGGGAGAGAGAGAGAGAGAGAGAGAAGCTACACTGCAACATCACGATCGTGGAAGTGCGTAAACGTTTTGCGTCATGACTGCTGAGACGTTTCCTCACCGGCTCTGAGAGGGCGCGGCTGTGTTCTCCCCAAATGTGTCATCAGCTGACTCTGCAGAGCCGCCGAGAACGGTTGGGAGATGCAGGGACAACCGGGCCTCCAGTTGTGTGCACCATTCTCCTGGGTGGGCAGTGCCGGGTGCTGGGGACAGAATGTGACCGGGTGGAGGGACTGGAGAAATCCCATCCCCATCGGAGGGGCAGGGAGAATGAACATAAAATGCGTGCCACTTAATTCACGGTTTCAGTAGTCAAATTCTTGG